GGCTAATAAGAATATGCTTAACTTTAGCACTAGCGCTAAAAGAGCTATTATTGCTGTAAAGCTTATAGTAGGCAACAGTGTCTGCGTAGGCGTAGACATAGTACAGGGCTTCCTTAACATTAACGTCTTTACCTGCCTTGCACGCAAAAAGCTTACGCGCGCTCTAGCTAGCTAAGACAACTAGAAGGTGTTCCTTCTTAAAGCTAGTGTTACATAAGAAGACCTTCTAAACCTTATTACAGCATGTGTTAGCTACTTTATTAAGTTTAATATTATTTTTACTGTCTACTTTTTTAACACTATTATGCTTACTTATTATTAACAAGCCCTTTAGACTTAGAAGAAGATGCTAGCGCCTAGTAGCTGCTTTATTTTTACTATATCTTTTTACTTTTTTTATAATTTTGCTACACAGTTTAAACCTAACACTACTAAGGCCCCTAAATGCGTCTTTATTATTAAGTATAATTTAAAAGATTTACTTTAGCTGCTTACTAAAAAAAAGCTAGTAGCTTAACTTAAAGTTATTATTACTACTTAGATTTTACTAAACTTTATCTAAACTAAAAAGTATAAGTAAGTAGAAAACACAGCTGTAATAGTCTAAATACACATTAAGTAATATAGTAATATTAGTAAAAGTAACATATTTAGTTTAAAGCACATGCTTTTATCTTTACTGCCTAAAAAGTTGCGCTAGATAAGCGCTTAACAGCTCTAGGCCTAGAGGGCTGCATATAAAATAAGTAAGCTCTAATGCCGCAGTCACCTCTACTAGGCTATAGTGGAGGCCAAGGATCCTAACATCGCCCTCCTCTAGGGCTCTGGGCAGCTCTGTGCGCTTGTGGAGGGCCTGCAGACTGCAGCAGCTAGTCTTGTAAGTTAGTTCCCTTAGAAGATGTTACCTTTTATCTTATTTTATGCAAATTATGCCTAGGCTAGTGTCCTTATTAAGCTGCAGCGCAGGTGAATAGACTAGTTTAAAAGTAAAGGTAGTTAGCTTAGGTTAAGTTTCTTATAGTAGTTCTTATATACATAGACTTCTATAAAGCTATATAATAGCATTACATAGCTAAAATAAATAAACAAATTAGACTAACTTATAATTACACTATACACTTTTAATATTATATAACTAAGATAGCTATAACATGTCTATGTTAGACTAGTTAGTATCTCTAGGGTCTAAAGGCGCATAGAAGATATTATTAACTACTTTAGCATATGCAGCAGCGCAGATAAACTTAGCCTTATTAGAGTTAATTAACTCTAAGTTAATAATAATAAAACTTAGTAAAATACTCTAAGCTAGTTAAATAATATTTTAGTTAAATTTTATAACTTTTTTATTAAGCTTATTAAGACTTATTTAAATAATATTAAAACTTATTACTACTGCATTATACTAAGTATTAAATAAGTAAGAATATATTTTTTTAAAGCTAACTTGCTAGTATAAAAACCTTTTAAGTAATAAACTAATAAGTATAATTATTTTTTAACTTCTTACTAAAACTATGCTCTAGGCTAGCTTAAAGATAGGTAGTATATCTACTAGTTAGTGCTAGGCAGTTAAATGTTAAGTTTACATTATATGTTCTATTCTTTAGGTCCTGTATATCTAGCTTATACATATAGTTTACATGCTTAAATATAAAGTTAATAGCTTTAAATATATTTTTTTACCTAGTAATATTTACTAAACTAGAGGCTAGAATAGCACGCTAAAGTTCTAGGTTAGACACCTTATCTATAAGAAGCTACTGTAGGTGTAGCATCTTAAAACTATAGCGCTATTAGTTGCTTCTATAAAACAAGATATTTAATAAATTAACTATTTAATAAATTAGGCTAATATTACTAAACTTAATAGTGTGCTTAAGTGTAAGAAATACTTTAATTTCTTAAAAGTATTAATAAAGTGTTGTAAAATTACTAGTAATAAAAGCACTACCTTTTTAAGCTTAGTATGTAAAGATGCTTAGCTAGATACTATTAAAGACCTTTTTATACTGCACTAGTGTAAGATAATAAATAGCATTATTAACTAAGCCTAGTAATTTTTTATAAGTAAATGTGTTAAAGTTACTAATTATTTTAGTAAAATAACTTTAATAAGCTATCTTAGTATAGAAAAAAAAAGCATCTAAGTATTCTAACTTAACTAGACAAGTAAAGTAACTAAATAATACTTAATATTATTATAGTTAATACTAGTTTACTTTTAGTAAGTAATATTATAAAGTATATTTAAAAAAAACTTAACACTATTAGAACTGCTTTAATAAGTTTTAATAATTATATAAGTTAAAGCTTAGAGAATATAGAAATATATAGAAAAGCTAACTATCTAGTTACAGTAATTATATAGACAGCAAGTAAGCTACTGCTTATAATAGACACTTTAGATATGCTCTACTATCTTCTAATTACTTTATATTAGCTAAAGATAATTAGAAAACATAGTAAAAGTATTAAATAAAAAGTCTTTACTTAGCCTAAACTACTTAATTTAGATGTTATTATAAACTTTATATATCCCCTTAATAGTACCTTTATTATAAAAGATAGTACTAAGGTTTTAGACTTAACTAACTAGCTGCAGCAGAAGAATGTTAACTAACAGCATACTTAAAAGGGCTATAGCATGTAAATTAAACATTAACTGTATAGCAGCTCTGTGCACAGAACTTACTGCGCTTAAAAGATAATAATATGTAATCTTTTTTAATATTAAATCTTGTTTTATACTAGGGGCCTAGTATATAGATTCTACTTAAAGGGGAATAGTACAGTTAAGCATGCTCTATTAAAGACTGCCTTTTAGTAGCTACAAGCACTTAACAGTAAAAGCAGTTATAAAATTACACATAATCTATGCTAGCACACTTAAAGCATAATTATAGGTTTAGTCTAGATAGTTAAAATTATTATAGATAATAATAAGCTAAGAGTTTTAAGCTATAGTTATTACTATTCTAGTAAACTTTTTAGTGCTAGAATTAGAGAGAAGATGTTAGAGAACATACCTACTAAACTTTTAACTATTTTATAATATATTTAATTTCTTTATTAATAATCTTATAAAAGTTATATAAGCTAAGACTAGATATAACCTTAATAACACACTTTTTTATATTACTACTATAAAAATAATGTTTAAGTATTTTTAGAAAATAATTTAATTACTTCTTAGCACACTTTTACATAATAACAGAAGTAATTAAGTAGAGAGTAAAATTAGTTAATACTTTTTTTACTTTATAACTAAACTAAGCACTTTAATAGTTTTATATTAAATTTTAAAGTAATAAGAACTACTTTAGTGCAGTAACTATAATCTAGCTATTAGAATTACTAATATTAAAGCTACTTATCTTTACCTTAGTCTTAATATTATACTTTATAAAAAAAAAGTGCGCTACTAATAAGTTAAGTTTATGTAATAGCTTTTTAATATTAACTATATTCTTAAATGTATATTAATCTCTTAAGAGTATCTTTAAACTGTATAGTTGTTCTAAAGCTATATAAATATGTAATATGCAGGCAGTAGATAGATAGGTATATAGAACTAAATTAATATAAAAAGTATATAAAAAGTTACTAATACTAAAATTAAGCTATTTTAGAAGCTAAAGTACTTTTGCAAGTTTATCTGCCTAAGATATAGAGGGCTAGCAAGTAGTTAGTAAGTGCGCGTTAGACAAAGGATTAGAAGAGTTAGGCAGTAAAGAAGATAATAAGAGCATAAAAAGCAGTAAGGATAACTCTATAGTATACTATAAATTAAAATACTAGAAAGTAGAAAAGCCTTAAAATAATGTTATTAAGATAAAAGATATAATAAAGCTAGTAAAGTAAATAAGTAGTAAGCATTAAGTAAAAAGATAATAATAAATAACATGTTTTTACACACAAAAGCTAAAATTTTTCTGTTAAAGTAGAATTAATTATAGGTATAGTACTAATAATAGTATAAAGAAAGTAAGAGAGTTATAGCTACTTAAAGAGGGCTAAAAATTATTAAGAAGTTAATTTTCTAGCTATAGTTAAGAGGATTAGAAGCGTTACGCTTACACAGGCACACTAAAGTCTCTTAGATAGGAGGAGCTTTAAGAAAATTATAGCTTCTAATTAGTTTAGAAAAAACTTAGTAGACTGTAAGAAAACAGCTTTACTTTAAGGAGTATAGTGTGGCGCTAATTAAAGCCTCGACTGTCTGAGCTCGCTGAGATAACTAATACCTGCTCGTTTTAGCAACTCTAAAGCGGCCTTAATACTGCCCATATTAGTTGAGAGAGAGGTGGTTGAAGTTTTGACAGCTTCGCGCAGAACCGTGCATTACGCGAGGCCGTGCATTACACGCTAAAACACAGTACTTCTTCAAGCCCGCTGATGAGGTCTTAGGGTGGCCGCTGTCATCTTGTTGTCTGCACGGTGGAGACGGCATAAAAAGCCACTTCGGGCTGCCCTGCATTGATTTTGGTACTCACGTGGACGAGAAATGTCGCCGAGAAGTGTTAGTGTAAGATTTAACTTCCCCAGGAATGCCAATGCCTTGCGGACCGCCTTATTGAGCGGTGCACAGCACTGTTGACAGGGGTTTGCCCAGCGAGATGAAACCGCACTTCTCACTCAGCAGAGCCGCACAGCAATTCGGACTTAAACATTTCGAAACCCTGAAGCATAGTCCATGGGACATTTCTGGAAACAATAACCTCCTTTACATTTCATTAGTCAATTTAATCGGACTGTCTAAAATTAAGCTCATTGTTCCACTTGCACGAGCCCCACCTCTCAGCCCGACTTCATTCCCCCGACCAACACTAGGTGCTTGATGGTAATGGCTCAGGCATAGCAGGCAACTATGCTAACGATAGAACTCCGACCACTTCCAGGGCTGAGTCTGTAAGGCTTCGTTTATATAAGAGCACGCAATTCTAGCAACTCTTGTCATCATTAACAAGCTATTCAATTAGCCGCTCTTCACAGTCTTTCCAATATTCCAGCTATTTACCCCCAAAACCTATCAACCAAAATGAAAGCCTTTGTCATCCTTGCATCTCTCCTTTCTTTGGCTGTTGCCAACCCTCTTTTCGAGCGAGATGCCTGCGCTTGTGATATCTCTAAGTGCCCTGCTGGCGTCAGTATAATTCTTTTGTTTAGATGTTTTGAGCGTACTGACAGTTCATAGAACTGCGATTGCATCACTGGCTTGATGGACGCCTGCTACGTTGCGCAGACCAAGGCTGGGACTGATTGTGGAAAGCCTGTCTATCCGGTTCCTACCAATATTCAATCCTTGCAGAATGTAATACTGACTCAGAGGCAGGACGGTTGCACTAGCAAGACTCCAATCCCTAACAAGGCTTGCGGAGGTAGCATTGGTGACACGTGCGCTTCGGACGAGATTTGCTACTACACGGATAAGGCTTGCGACCCACACACTCAACCCTGCACCGGAATCTGCGCCAATGACTACTGTGGTGGCCACTGGGACCGCGAATGCCCCGATAGCCGTTGGTCCTGTGTGTACGACGAAACCTGCGAAAAGAACGGCGGGGTTGACTGCGACGGCCAGTGCATCCTCAACTAGGACACTCAAGACACAACTATCAACCCTTGTGGAATGGTTGCGGCTTCGCTTTGGGATATTCGGCATTGAACTCGGGACAGGGGAAAGCGAGCTGGGACATTTTTTTCATTGTCCATACTCTTATAGACTACCTTGTTGGGCTTGAAGGCTATATACTGTGTATATATATTTTTTACATTTTATGTACGATCATGTAAAGCGTTAGATATAGAACTCGTCCTATGCTTCTTAATTAACCGCACCACATAGCACAAGACCACGGCACTGATTTGTTTCAGAAGATGAAACATGAATTTCTCTATCTTCATTTCCATGTCACTCGGATGAGGGAGGTAACTACCTAGATAGTTAGTATTTATCCTTCCCTTTGCATATCTTCCTAAACACCTCTTCTGTGTGCTCCCAAATCTTTTCTCTCGCGCCATTATTCCTCATACTCTCCATCTTCTTGCTTTCACCAAAGACTTCGCCGTTCCAACTTACGAAATAAGCTCCGCTTCCACTTTTTCCATCACTCCCAGTTGCTAATTCATCCATCCCGTCTCCCTTCGCTTTTGGCGCGAATCGAGGTGCCGTGGAGGCGAATAAATGACGTTCCCCACTCTCCGTAGGATCGACCATGAATGGCTTCAGTAGTACCGTAGCTACTTTCAACACGTTGAGCCACACCTGCCCCATGCCTCTTGCTGCCCCGGTATTCACGCCCGATGGAAACGCATGGATGAAGGAGATATTAGAGTGCATGTTCCCAAGATGCTCAAGAGCGAAGTTGTTCATTGCGCTCGCGTGAATACCACAGTTCTTGAGAGAGAAGCTATTCTTTAGGGAGAGATCCGAGAAATTGGGCACAAGCTTCAATCCAAGCTGCGGATCCAGGACCGAAACCACCCTAGCGAGTCTCGCATTGGGACCCATATCGTTCGCGGCAGAATTCAGCAGCGGGGTCAGATTTTGGGCGAAGCGCATTCGAGCATAGTAGTGGAGTGAGAACTTGCGATCCAAGCCTTCCTCGGTCTCATCCCGTCCCTTGAGTGTGAGATACCCCACTGTCATGAATAGCAGGTTGACCTTGTTCTCCTTCTCTTTGATCTCTTTGCATACTTCGTCCACATTTCTGAGCAGGGAAACGTCGCTTTTAATAAAATTAAGTTTGGAAGAGGGATTCAGCTCGTGCAGCTCGTCAATAATACGGGTAGCCTCGACTTGATTGCGACCGATGAGGTAGATATGAGGGGCTTTAGTATTGCGAACAAATTCTCGAGCCGTATAGAGACCAATGCCACTTGTGCCTCCCACAAACACAGCGACGAGGCCTGAGGAGAGCGACTTGAGAGTGGCGTTGTGAGTTTGAACTGCTGTAAGAGAAACCATCTCTACGGACCAGTTTTGAGGGCTCGCGGACTAACAATAGTGGATGATGAGGAGTAAATGAGAGAATATCCAAATATTTAACCACACTGAGAATTTCGCATACAAATGGCTGGCGTTAGGAGATGCTTCACCCTTGTGCGCGATTCGTCCGAAGCTGAACGGAGGAAAATAGCAGGCTGTGGAGAGAGATCAGGACGAATTCAGGAAATTGCGACTAGCAGGTTGATGTATTTAGCGACAATATAGAAGATGATCGCAGTTCTATCCATGAAGAGATGTTGAAAGTGCCGCGAGGGAGCATCTCCCACGTGGCTGTAGTCTTATTCAGGACTAGCGTTGGCTTTAAGTGTCTGCGCTCCCCCACCTACTACAGTTGTTCTCGAGTGCTCTTGTCGATGCATGCCACTTTCCTTCGTGGACAGCCGTATTTCGATACTCAGCCTCGTTAAGCTTTGAAATGCGCGGAATTGCTCTAGCTACTGTACAGTAGCCTGAATGTCTCCAAGGCGCTGCTTCCGGGATCCCTGGTACTTTCACGACTCTTTTAACTCTATTGTACACTCATAAACGTGCTGAAGGTCGGGACAGTGCTCTAAACTATCCTTCTATTGAACGAGATTTCATTGACATTCTCGCGCCTTGATTACGTAGGTGCGACTGCTTATTGAGGCAATGAAGTAGACATCCCAGCCAACAAGGCACCTCATTCACATTTTCGCGATTTCCAAGGAACATTATCTTAGATTCAAGAGTCACTGGTTCCAGCAGTCTCGTTGCTCCTTTTCAAAGTGCTTCTCGATTTATTCTAAGATGGCACTATTTGTCTTTGGTTCTAGGCCAGATTCGTGGTACATTGCAAATGATGTTCGCGTTGCAAGGTACTTCAGATGTAATCATTCACAAGCGTTGACTAACTCAACATAGCTTGGACCCTCCTCAGGCAATCTGTTGGGGGGCGTCTTTGAACCCAAGCTTCAACGGAGCGACTGTGGAATACGTAGCGATCAACACAAACGACTTATACTATTACCGGACGCAGGATCCCAGCACGGGAGGTGCGTTACAATCCCGACTACGTTATGATATCAATCTAACTACAACTCTGGTATGTAGTTTTCGTGGAATCTTCCACTAGAAATATCGCGCTGCTGGCCGACACCAAGACCCAACACGATGGAACAGGAGTGGCATTCGTCAACTTCTCAGTAGGAAATGCCTGGTTTATTAGGTACCAAAATGGATCTGTTCGCATTTCTCAAGAAGATACCTTTCCAGAGGTCTTTCATGGGCTAGCGGGAAAGTACATGCAAACACGTGGATGGCTTTCGAATACTCTCCAGAGTTGTTCCCAAATTGAATTTGTATGGTTTATGGCTGACGGCTCAGTCTTGCTCACCAGCACAGATGGTGGCATCGAGGGTATAGGGCTTACGGACGAGCTGGTGGAAGAGATTCAAGAAGGTGTCGAGAAGGGGTGGAGGTTAGAATCGAGGACGATTCTGAGCCAGTACGATAAGCAGTACTATTTCCTCGAATGGAAGGACTCGCCTGGAGATATTATGAAGATTTCTGCGAAATTCATGGCATCAGGTCAACTAAATGATGCTTTCGTTGGTGAGATGATTACAGGTGGTGTACCTATAGCGCTACGGTCTACGAGTCAGTGGTATGAGGGGACTTTTAGTGCAAACCTGGGAAATGGGGACTTTCCAGATTTTTCCAATTTGTCACTTTTCTCATCATCGAAAACGTCCACAGCATAGCCACAACCGAACAATTATCTCCACCCAAGTCCAAATTCGACGGACAAGCACTCGTCGTCTACCGCTTCGTACCGAGAGGAAGATGAAGAGGATAAGAAACTTAGAGATGCGCTCGAGGGGGGCTATTGGAACAGAGGCCCCAAACGTTCACTGGGAGGACGTTGCCGGACTTGAGTTGTTTAAAGAAGAACTCCAAGAAGCTGTTATTCTGCCTCCCAAACCCCTACAGCTTTTTACTGGCCGCCGTCCAGCTCGACGAGGAGTATTGATGTACGGCCCACCAGGGACTGGGAAAAGCTATCTCGCAAAAGCATTAGCCACAGAGTGCAATGCTACTCTGTTCAGTATTAGCAGTAGCAATATTGTGAGTAAGGGGCTCGGAGAAAGTGAAAAGTAAGCTACTTGGATTCCAAAAAGATCCCCAGGATTCTGACATGCCCTCTCCCATAGATTGGTCAAGACTTTGCTTAAAATGGCTCGGGAGCGGAAGCCCTGCGTAAACTTTATCGACGAACTCGGAGGCATTGCAAGCTCCCCGGACAGCAGTGGGACAGACAATGAGCACACCAATCGTATCAAGACGGAGATATTGGTCCAAATGGGTGGCGTTGGCAAGGGCTCAACTGGTATTCTGGCTCTTACCGCCGCGGATCTCCCTTGGAAGCTTGATGCAGCTCTTCGCCGTCGATTCCATAAGAGAATATACATCGGATTGCCAGACCGACCAGCAAGGAAGAGGTTATTTGAGCTTGGTGGGAGGGATACGCAATGTACCCTGGCTGAATCATACCTTGATCGACTGGCGAGCATGACCGAGGGACATTTAGGGAGTGACATTGCGATTGTGGTCTAGGATGCCTTGGTGATGCCAGCCAAGAAGATCTACGAGGCAAAATATTGGAAAAGAGTAAGGTTCAGAGCTCCAATCTACCCACCCTGAACAACTATTGATTCCTATAGGTTTTGGTGGTAGGAGAAGGAATCGAGAAGCTGGAGCCCTGCGCCGAGGATGACGCTAGGGCGATGCAGATGATCTATTCTATGCAAAAATCAGGGCAGTTCTTAGCACTGCCCCTAGGAATTTTTTTCCCCTACTAAAATTATATAAGAGTTTAAAATTTTAACAAGATCTACTATATATTAATTGTCGCGTAAGAGAGCACAGGGACCTGGTGTCGCGCCTGTGTTTAGGACGTGCAGCCTAAGACACTTAGCGCCTAAGCTCCCACTACATAAGAAGGCTCTCTAAGAGCCTTTTATAGTTAATAGACTAGTTTCTTATTACTCCCTAATTAGTAGTTATAATAGTTGTAGGCCTAGTTTATATAATTTTCTTTATGCTACTTTAATTAAAGCACTTGTCTATTCTCTGCTTCTTATTCTCTACTTTTATTGTTTCTCTCTCTTTCTCTACTAAAGCTATAGATTAACTAGTAAATGTTACTATAGTTTTAATAAGTGTTTAACTTATTAATTACTATATGTTTTTACTATAGTATGCATAGCTTAAGTACTTTACGTAAGCTTAAAGTGTATAGAACTAAATTAACCTAGACACACTACTATAGCCTAATCTAATAAGTAAAGCACTTGTAATTTTTAATTTTAATATAGCTAACTTAAAAGCTCTTTACCTTTATTAAATTAAAGTATTAATATACATACAGCTCTTTTTAAGGCTCTAAGTGCTGTAGAACTAGATGTAACAGCACAGGCAAGACAATAGATCTAAATGCGGTTTGAATCCACTTAGAGGCATATAGAAGTGCATAGAGACTTAGTAACCTAGGAATATTATTAACGCCTATAGGCCTTGTACAAAAGGATATTAGAAAACTACTAAGCTAGCTAAGAGAAGAGGTATAGCAGAGGGCAGGGCTAGGTTAGAGTAGATACAAGGAACCTTTAGATTAGAGTTGCTACTTTTTAGTAATAGTAATTACTAAGTAATTGCTATTACTAGAAGCGCCTAGTAATTGCTATAGTAATTACTATTTTTCTAGTAATAGTAATTACTATTACTAGAGGTACGTAGTAATTACTATTTCTATAAATAGATATTTTATAGAAAAAGATTCTAAGTAGTAAAAGTAATAATTATTATAATAGTATATAATAATTCTTACGTCTCTAGTAATATATAAAGCTTTTTTATTTTTAAAAAAACTAGATAAGCTAAAAAAAACGTTAACAAGTAATTACTATAATTTAAACAACTATAATATATATAATAATAATATATAATAACACTATAACGTACTTTACAGGCAAGTTGCTTACACACCTAAGTTGCTTACTTTTACTAAGACTCTACTAAACTACTTTTCTTACACTAATGCATTCCCTATAACACTACTTAGATGTGCTAAAAGAATGTTAGATACAGCTTACGCTCTAAGCTTTTAAATAAAATATAAAACTCTTAAAAAAACATGCTATAGCTATATGCACAGTCTTATAAAAGATAATAAATAACTATAGCATTAAATAATATTTATAAGCTAATTCTACAGCTAAATTATAAAGGCTAGGTAATAAAAAGAAGTAAGTAATTATTAAGACTATACTTAAGCTATATATATATAAAAAATTTCTTTTTAAATAGTATTTATAGCTAATATAGCTAATTTTTTACGCGCTAAGTATAATCTAGGCTATATTTATATAAACTAGCTTAGTATGTTTATAAAGCGTTATTTAGAGCTTAAAGTAACATTTAAGCGTAAGTATAACTATAAAAGAGCCTTTTATAAAAGTCCTAAAGTAATTTAAGGCAGGTTTAGCCTTATAAAGAATATTAAAGCTAAGTATAGCATCTAAAATAATAACATGTACAACTTTAGTAAAATAGGCTTTATAATTAGCTAAATATCTTTTAACTATACTTACACTTAAAACTTTACTTTAAGCTTTAAATAATGCTTTATAAATGTACTAGGCTAGTTTATATAAATAAAGCTTAGATTACACTTAGCATGTAAAAAATTAGCTATATTAGCTATAAATACTATTTAAAAAGAAATTTTTTATGTATATAGCTTAAGTATAGTCTTAATAATTACCTACTTCTTTTTATTACCTAGCCTTTATAATTTAGCTGTAGAATTAGCTTATAAATGTTATCTAGTGCTATAGTTATTTATTGTTTTTTATTAGCAGAGCTTGCTCTGCTTATTATATTCGGGTTTGCAGAACGAAAAGTTGAGCAGAATCTCCTCTTTTGGACGCGCTAGTTAGTTAGAATTTCTTTGGATAAACCCTAGTAACGCTGTTTCTCTGTCACCTTATGTGTTTCTTATATTCTTTTTTTAAAAAAATGTATACCTAATGTAAGTGCACCTTTACGCTAATTTGCATGCAGTTTGCTCTAGCATGCGTTGTGTAAAACATGTTTAAATTATGGTTAGTTGCGTCTGTTCCACCTCTCTAGCCACATCGGTGTGTCGGGGATTGGCATCAGCCACATTGGTGTGTCGAGGATTGGCATCAGCCGCATCGGTGTGTCGGGAATTGGCATCAGCCACATTGGTGTGTCGAGGATTGGCATCAGCCGCATCAGTGTGTCGGGGATTGGCATCAGCCGCATCGGTGTGTCGAGGATTAGCAGTTGCTCGCACACCTAAGTTGCTCACTTTTGCCAAGACCACACCACAACAAACTTTATTATGGCCCATAACAACCCACTCTAGCACTATAGAGTACAGTACAGCCTGGAATATTATTTAGATACTACTTCTACTTCTTGCTTACACGTTTGCGCGTTATGCCTAGTCTAATTGCACTGTCCGCAGCGCCTTTAGAATTGCTTATCTACTTTAGCTTTGTCAGATTGAAGCACTGTTTCTGGGCTTCCTGAGATGAATGATGGGTTTTGGATATGATGTATAGGATGATGATTGATTGTATTAATTAATTGATGTTTCTTTTTCTTTTGTCTGCTCTGCTCGTGTTGCTCGGCTTTGTTTTTCCGGTCCGAGTCCCTCGCGCACTAGCCCTATGCGCGACCAGCCGCAACATGCTGCAAGTTGTTGCAAAATGCTGCAACATGCAGCAATTTGCAGCAACATACTGTTCGAGCTTATTGCTCGTACTATGTAGCAGCTTTCGTCCAGCGTTCCTCCTGTCTTGACAGTAGGTGCGCATCTCTATTATTCACTGTACATCTTGCCAAGTCTTTTCTCTTATTGGTTTAAAAAAGCGCCGGATTAATGTCTAATTAGCCTATAAAACTTTCCACCACTTTTGCAAATATTCTAGATTTTTAAGGCAAATAAATATATTTTACTAGGTCTATTACTATATTCTAGGTGTTTTAATGCAATATTATAATGCCGTGTTCTGTTGTTGGTGGGCTAAAGTTTGCCCCTTTGTTACTGTTCACAGTTTTAAGGTGTCGCCAAGCCGGAATCGGTATGTCGGCGTCTGTCTTCCGAATGTCAAACCTGACTTTGCAACTGACCGACGCGGTGCTCCGTATGAACATTGTCGGCGGCACAGGAGATTTGTTTGTCTATATCGCTATTCTTCCTTTGTTATTGCTAAATTTTCCTCATCCAAGCTTCCGAAAAGGAAGGCTCATACCTGCTCGTATCTGACAAGCTTACACCTGCTTCTTTGCCTTTTTCCTATCACTGCGCGCCCTAAACTTATTTTAAGCTGTTAAGCGCAGGCCTTTCTAAATGTACCTGCCTTATTAGCTGCTTAAAGCTTAGTAATTTCCTATTACGCTAACACTAGCTTATGTACAATTATTGCTGCCCTTTGTAAGGCTTTTTTTCTAGAGGCATTTGTTACGGCCAACGAACGGACCGTAATGTCCCAGCTGGCGGTCCCGCACAGCCCGAACGATGTCGGATGGACAACGCTTAACCCCGCGCTCAACGGATCACGTGACAGGACAGATAAGGAATGGCTCCGGCTTTTAGACAAAAGCCTCGCGGAATGCATCGTCCAATAGGGACTTAAGGCACCGCAGGAAGTGCAGGCGTTGCATGCAAGTGCATGCAACGCACGCAGTGCACGCAACGCATGCAAGTGCATGCAGACCCTATGTATATAGTCTTGATCTTAACTATAGCTAAGAGGTTGTAATTAACATTTAGTTTATTCTTTATAATAGACTAAGAAGCCTAAATCCTTTCTAAAGAGGATTTAAGCTGCCTTGTATATTTTGCAACATATATACCTCTAACCCTTGTCTACCTAACTAGTACTAAACCTAGCTACCCATACAGCTATAGGGATAAACCACAGCCTGCCTTTCTAAACCTAACGACCCCTTACTCTGCTTAACAGACTGTACACCTGATCTAGCTAAGTTCTCGCCCCCTCTCTATTAATATCTACATAGGCTGTTATACTCTAGAAAAGACTATTTCCCTAGAGTAAGAATTATAACATTAATTACTAACTCTCTAAAAGTATAGCACCTCACACCTCCCTTAATATTAGCATGATAAGGGCTAGTGCAGCTAGCACTAGTAAAACCCTGTCTTAGAATAAGGAGGAACATAGTTAACAAATACAGTATCTCTGTTAAGAAATTAAAGCACTTAGAACCTAGCTTTAGCAGCAGCTACACGTCTAACAACTACACGCCCTCTATCTAGAAGTCGCCAAGCTCTGCAACACTGCTAAGGAAAAGACTAGCATTAAGTTAAAAAAGTTATTACGCCTAGCCCTACCTAAATTATTTAACAGCATAGCTAAGAACCTTAAGCTATTCTTTACTTAATGTTATTTATATATGCAGTATAATAAAGGCGCTTTCTAGACAGACAAAGAAATAATCTTATAGATAAAACTCTACTTAGAAGGACCCCTAGCTATCTAGTTCTAACTACACGCAGACAATTAGATAAAACACAAAGTAACTAAAGAAATTTCTTTTATTTACACTTAATAAATCTTTTAAAACTTAGATGCCTTTAAATAAGCCTTTACAATAATTTATAGCTAAGCTAACTAAAAGGAAAAGGCAGTTAACAAAATAGACACCCTATAACAAGGAAAAGGCACTGTCTAATTATATGCAGCACGCTTTAGAGAATAATTAGCTATTAGCAGATAGACTAACTAAGCAGCTATTAAAAGAATGT